TCTCATTTTTGTATATACTGCCTCAAAGTTCTGTGATTTGTGTTTTTAAAGTACATTGTGTCCACAAGGACTTTTTAACATACAGTTGAGATAACGCGGGGATCTTTAATCTTAAACACTTTACCTGAGTGTGGATGACAGAATGAATTATATTTTGAGGTTAAGTTACATTGAGAGCATTGACTACACCTATAATTACCAGAAGGGATAGAAGGCAGAAAGTGAGTAGATTTGTTCTAAAGATAAATCAGCTCTTGCAACAAGGTCATGAAGATTAGGAGGGTGTTTGAATATAATTCACTGAAGACATTATGATATTGAGTTAAAGATGTGTCAATGATAAGGGTCAAGCTATTTTCAATTTAGGAAAGTTTATAATATAATATTATTCCGGTCCCCAAAAAGCCCAAAATCACTGGACTTAACGACTACAGACCTGTCGCTCTCACATCTGTGGTCATGAAGTCATTTGAGAGACTGGTGCTGGCCTACCTGAACTTGGTAATAAAACTCTTCTGATTCTGATTCTGATTATGTTATGTTATGTTGTTATTATACAATACAGCAGTCATCCTTAGTTATATTGTATCAGGATTCTATCTGACCAAAGCACAAAAAAAGGCATTAATCGAGACACGTTTACACTGTAAAAAAAACACTTACGTTTTGCTGGCTTCCAGTGTGTAAAGTTGGAAAACTTCTTTGAGTTTGTTATGATGGATGGGTTGAACATGTACAGTATGTGGTCTTTATTGCTAGTGTAACACTCGTAAACATGAAGTGCCGCTAATTGTCACTTGTCTTTTAAATAAAAAGTAAAAAGTATTTAATAGAATGTTTGGATGTTAATGTGTGTCTCATGAAGATTAAAATGTTGCAAAATAAATGGTAATATCATAAAAGTGTGCATTTTCTTTTCTCCTTATTTTTAGGTACAAATCCCACAATGGGTGATCCCTGAACTACCACCATTGTGGCCTTGAGTAAGGCACTTAAAGGGTTAGTTCACCCAAAAATGAAAATTAGCCCATAAATTACTTACCCTCAAGTCATCCTAGGTGTATATGACTTTCTTCTTTCAGACAAATCCAGTCGGAGTTATATTAAAAATTGTCTTTGATCTTTCAAGCTGTTTCATGGCTCTCAGCGGGTGTTGCATGCTTCAGTCCATAATAAGTTAAATAAAAAGCGCCCATCCATAAAAAAAAAAAGCGTCTCACACGGCTCCGGTGGGTGAACAATGGCCTTCTGTAGCGAATCGATGCGTTTTTGTAAGAAAAATATCCATATTCAAAACGTAATAATCACTTTAATGTAGCTTGCACTCACTGTTGTAAAGGGAAGCAGTTCCGGGTGGATGACCTCTGAGGTCAGTGCTGCGCATGCGCCAGTGAGTCTCGTGAAAACCAACGTTTGTTAACAGGAGCAAAGGAAGCAAAGTTTCCTTACTTTAGCAAAGGAAAACCAGTCTCCTCTTGGCTTATATCGAAATCCTCCGACATTCTTCTTTACAAAATAATTGAATAACAGAAAATAATTTTCTCATGCCTTAAAATAGCTTGAATGTAACTTAACACCCTTGCCTCATTTACTATACGCTGATCTATGGATATGCAAATTAGTACCGCCTCCACTCAGTCACACCAGCCAGCACCTCCTGATCCACTGAACTATAGTAAACGCAAAACAATGGCATACACGGATAATGACTGATAAAACTATGTTTTTACTAGTGGACAACTACAGTGAATACTGTAACATTCGTTAAAGTTACTTACTTGACGATGTTGTGTCCTAAAATGCCTTGAAGACTCGAATGCAGCCGTTTGTGATTCTTAATTCGCGAATGTGGGAGAGGTGGGTCTGACTCCGGGCTACTTTTACACTGTTGCTGCGGGTTATAATGCAAGTTAGTGGTTCTAAATTCACATTAAACCACGGACTCATGGGTTTTTTGCTCTAATTTATTTTTGGTTTTGTGCTGGTATTGGTATATTTTGCATGCTAGGGATAGGAATCGATCCCTTGCTGTGATTGGTTACTGGTTTGTGACGTAGCAAACCGAGGGCTGTTTCAAACGGCATTTCTGGGACTGCCATTGGGAAACTACACTTTTAAGGAGAAAATACTCAGCAATGGTGTTGATTAATGGATTGGCACATGGTTTGTCTAAAAGCATATTAAAAACACCACATAGACAAATAAACAACATAAAAAAATTGATTTTCACTACAGGGGGACTTTAAATATTTTTTAATTACTATGTACTCTGAATGAAGGCAAGTATGGATTAAGATATTATTTAGTATGGGTTTCTGAGGATAAAATTAAGAAATCTATTCATTCAACATTACAGTAAAATTTGTGCCATCATTTTTAACATTTAATAGGCTTACACTTTTAATTTAAGTAAACTTAACACAATCTTCACTTAAACCCATTATAAAAAATAATAATAATAATTTTCCCTTCAGCAAAGGAAAATACAGATGCTATGTTAACTGCATGAATTATTTTCAATGCATTAAACAATATATATATATATATATATATATATATATATATATATATA